ACGTCCCACCAGTACGTACATAGTACGTCTTATGTACGTATGTGTGTTTGCTGGGTTAGGATGTCCTGTGCTATCTGGGACCAGATGTACGTTTTGGGGGAACCCAAAAAACATGCACTTATTATTATGTGGGTGATATTTTTTGCACGATACAGTTTAAATAATTTGAACGATTTCAAGGAATTTGGAAAATAGGGTTTTCATAGGCCCCTGAAGAGATGATTAAATTTTGGGCATAGTCGGATCAACAATATTAATCTATTTTAAAATTTTAATTGCTACCGACTTCGAGGAGATTTATTACAATCATGTTTCATGTTCTTTAAATTGCTGTATTCTTCAAATCGCACCTGATGGTAGCAACAGTCAGAGCAGTTATTACAAACCAAAGATAATGATGTATATGTTACAAACTGATAGACGTGGTTCAAATTTAAATTTACATGACGTTGACATTTCGTTTAGTTTAATTATACAGCAAAATTTCCGTGACGGTACCATGCCGTTACGTGACGTTGACGTTCCCTATAGTGTGAATTGACCTTTATTGCATGTAAGATTCCCCACAAGAATAAATTTATCATAGAAAATCCTTTTCTATGAAAATATTCTTGAGATGGATAGATGGATAACTATATTTTATTCTTGGTGCTGTAATTTTATGAGAAATTTCTATTTATATATACATAATATATTCTATGGTTTCACAATAATTATTCCCTTCTGAAGCCGAATTGGTACAAATAAATATATTAAAAAATAAAAATAGGCTTAATGCAATTAATTTAGTTTTTCATTTCAATCTCTCTGAATTTTATCTAAATAAATTTATTATAAAATCATCTTAATTTTAGTATTAACCAAAATGGCAGTATTTTGGTCACGAAAATGGCACTATATAAATTTTGTTGTTAAATATAACCTATACATTTTACCCAACACCGATCCATTACCTATGCTATAAAAGATTTATTAACCAGAATTTTTCTTTCCGGGAAAATTATTCGAGAGTAAAAAACGGATCACGAAAGAGGGGCAATCAACTAATTGACTCGATGTACGAAACAGCATGAGTCTCTATTATCTGATTACGTGTATCGTGTCATACACATTTGAAAATTTAATAGAAATTCCTCTGGGATATCCTCTATATTTTATATTTGACTATTTGGAATATGTTATAATTTCATGTCAAAGACTTGAATCAAGCTAAATTGAGAGATTTATGAAAGAAAAGAGATCTGAAAATGAACACATGAGAGTTGGTAAAAATATTAAGTGTAGTTGTACCGCTTTTATTTTTTGCAGCTACTAAACTAAAATATATACGAGTATGTTTATAATAAGTATATTTCACATTTAGTAACAGTAGATCATTTCTCAATAGAAGAATTAAGACAAAATCTTCGTATTGTAATAATTACAGTAATTTAGAATAAGCTCAAAAGAGTGGATGGGTAAACAAAACTTAGGAATGGTGAGAAATTTATAAGGACGTAGATAAGCCAAAGAATTCAATAAATAATTGGCAGAGTCTTAGCCTATATGTTTTATTCAATTTTAAGAATTATTTTTTTTTATTAATTTAACGTCGAATATCTTAGTTTAGATAAATATTCAATACTTTTTCTTTCACACTTTAAATTGTTTTAAATATGTTACTACAGTAATGTCACTTATACAACATAATGGTTGTGATTGTTATAGCTTTTACTTTTAATGTTAACGTTTCCATATTTACAGTAACTTGCTTAATTTAGATACAAAATTAAAAAATAGATTAAAATGAAGAATATCCACCTTGGAGAGTGAATATCTCGAAAACAAATCACTTTATGAGTTCCCAACAAGAGTATCTAAATGATTTACTTAAAAAACAACAAAAAATGTAAAAGTATAGTCCAAATAAGTTTTTGGATAGTGGCGTAAAATTTAGAGAGGATGAAAATGTTACTTCTCCACGTTTTACGTTACTGGTAAAGTTTATTCACCTGATTTTATTATACTAATAGGTGTATCTTATGAAACCAACAATGTTCAGTAAAATTATACTGGGAAATAAAAAAATTAGGGTCATTAATAATTTTTTAATTTTCAACTTTAACACCTTGTATTTCGAATAACAGTAATATTTTATCTAAGCATGTTGAGTTTAATCGTTTTATTTTTAATCAGAGAATCTTCAGTTTTTCTGTGTTCCATTCTTAATGAAACACCCTGTATACTCTAGCAGAGTAGTAGCGACGCAGATCTTAGGTTTCCTAAAAAATATTACCACCTCAAACAGGTTCCGTACAATTTACCGAAACCCGAATGGCCTCCCAATTAACCGTCAAGACAAATTATCGACATGCCAATTTACCGACATGATAATTTACCGACAGGCCAATTTACCGACAAGCCCATTGACCTACAGGCCAACTGACCGAATCCCAACTGCCGACACACAAGTGACCGACAGGCCAAATATGTTTCTTAGGTTAGGTTAGGTTAGGTAAGGTTAACCTGTGCATTTTATCCAAGCACGTACCAAGTTGCAGGTTGCAATATCTACAAAAAAAATTAAAATTTGTTTTTAGTAGAACAATATTTTGTTAGCCTTTATTGTAGCGTACTCATCAATAAGGTGCGAATCATCTAAATTTTCACAGACATCATTTTCAATAACTATTATATTTGTGAGCCTTTCATGTGACATGGTAGATTCAGATAATTTTTTATTATTTTTAATTTGGAAAGTGTTGCTTTCAAGATTCAACTGTTACTGGTAAAGTTAAAAATGCTCTCAAACTTAAAATTAAATTATGGAATAATGACCTGTCTGCCAATTAAGTGTCGGTCAATTGGCCTGTCAGTCAATTGGCTTGTTAATATATTGGCCTGCCGGTCAATTGGCCTGTCAGTCAATTAGCCTGTCAGTATATTGGTTGTCGGTCAATTGGCCTGTCGGTCATTGGGTGTCTGTCAATGGACCCAGACACCTTTTGGGATAACTTTTTCAATGACAAATAATTCAGCAGGTTTCCAAGAAAATTATAGCGTGGTCTCGCAGGCCTTACCTTAGATATACCTTTAAGGGAACTTTTTACATCTGTATCAGCTTCAATGTTAGCTTTTGTTATTAGTGAAAGATTTTATTAACTACCATAACTAAAGCTTGTTCGTCGTCAGCGCTGTTTTGTATTTTTTTTTACGCGCCACTGTCCTATAAACATCGATTCTATTTTCTGTAAAAATATTTCCACCAGGCCAGGCCTTAAAGGCATTGTATTATAAAATATTTTTTGCTAGTGAGTTCAGCATTATATTATCTTGGCCTTCTTCGAGTATATTTTTTAGTCTAAATCCCTGGAGGATAGTGTGTCCAGCAGCTAGGATGGGAGAGGCCACCGTTATGGCCAAATAGCAGTGGATCTGTTATAGAGTGCTCTTATTAAAAAAGCAAACCAGGGTTGTGTTGGCCAGTAAAGGACAATCATTATTCCTGAAGGTTTATTAATGTTAAATTTTATTAGAACTTAAGAAGGAAATGCATGGAAATAAATTTTCTCCCAAATACTAACTCCCATATTCTGTGTCCAAAGAAGTCTGACACATGACTCCAATCTATGCACAAATACACAACATTTTTTGATTCACACCATCTCCAAATATCTTTAGCAAGTATTTATATATTATTTATTGTAGTAGGTCAATAGAAAATGTATTAACTATTGGTATTAATATAATTTCATTCAGATATTTATGTTTTATACCTACTACCCATTTTGCTTACATAAAAAGTGGCAATGGTTACTACACATATTTGAGCAATTACATTTTAGGGAAAGACATTTGAGGCCATAAATTATTACAACTATACATATTATAAGTGTTACCTTGAGTTAAATCTTTTTATTTTTCTCAAGAATTTATGTATTAACGACAACCTTATTTTACATTTAACTTTTTTGTTTTAATTTTTTGAATACTTCGAATCTCGTTATTTTCTTGTTTCTGGTAGTAGGTACAATCTACATAAGATTTATTATGATACCAAAATATTCAAGTTTTTTATTACAATTTTAGTTTGTGAAGCACACGATAACTCTGAATTCACCATTATTATAGAATCGTCTAAGTAAATTACACAACTAAATTGCAATTTTATTAAAAAGAGTTTCATAATTTTAGTCATTTAAGATATATCTTAAACATTTTCTAGACTTGTTATGAATTGATACCTGGAAATAGACATCTTTTGAATCTACCGTACACATAGCGATAGAATGACTGTTTACATAAAAGTAATATTTTGTAATAATTTTACAATTCCATAATCTTTCATTTTGAAATGATTGGGTGAAATATAGTTAATTAATGCTTTTAGAGTTAGAATAAATTGTTTTTACCATTGTATTTTTTAACTAGAAAAAAAAGGAGAGAAAAACTAATTTTCTGATGCACCCTTTTTTTAAACACAATGGCACCTGCACATAAATATCAAAATTTAACACCGATATGATAAAACTGGTATTGTTTATCATATGATGTCATCTCTATCCCTTCCATCTCCATAGATCGAAGCTACTTCTTGTCTATTCTGTCAAGAAGCGGAAACAATTGCAGAACTTTAAAACTACAAAGGTCTATCATTCGTAGAAGAAAAACCTCAGGTTTTGGAGTCTGTTAGGCAAGACCAAACAAAGCAAAAAACCTTAAACAGTATTGAACCCAGAGGCGTTGTTGATCGTATTTTATGTTCTCGGACCTGTTAATCTAGTACGTCTCCGGTCCCGTCTTGGATGGGTAAATTACAAGGAGATTGGAATAAATGTCGTAGTAGTAATCTCAAATGTAGTGTTACTACAAGGATAAAAAACAGTAATGGAAGGTGGGAGAGACTTCTCGGAATCAGCTATTGGTACTATTAGGAATCCCGTTGTCTATACGAACTATAAATCTTTATTTTTAATTGTTTCATTTATTTACTTATTAATTTACATTTATTACTTTTTTAGAGTTTTGTCGAAAATGGGAGACAAAATGCCAGGATTTCTTCATTTTCTTCAAACTTTGTCCAATTGGCGGCTAGATTCTGAAGATGATTTTGTACATCCACCATCAACGCCAATTATTACAGTTATACCAGCAGTGGATGAACCTATCAAGATTGGAATTAATGATGAGAAGAAACCAGAGTCAGCAAAAATACGTAAAGGCGGCAGGAAAATGCCTGACATGGTAGGTAACTTTTTTAAATTATATTAATATTGAAGAGCAATTCTTCTTTAAGTCTAATAAGATAATATGGAGGGAAAAAACAAAAATTAATCTTGGAGCTGAATCATAAAAAAACTAATATTATTTGAATATCGGTGGGATTTGAAATGATCTGATCCCATTTTTAATATAGGATCATTTACCTCATGTGTTATTCTGGTAGGTTTTATATGTCCCAGTGGGTTCCAGTCTGTATATGCAGTCATTCTAGCCTCCCTCTTTCAGACTAGGTCAAGGGGTGAGAGGTTTGAGGTTTAGAATGATTTCCATAGAGGCTGTCGGTGTACTTCAGCGAGGGTATTGAGGGCTGTTTTCTGGTTTACTTTTGGCCACGAAACAAACGTTCCATTAGTTATTACTAAATCCCTAATGAAGCCAAGAGTTTTTCTACAGTTTACAATAGGTATAGGTTCATTATTGATGATAAGATTTAAATGGTGTTTTACATTTTGCCTGTAGTTCTGTGGACTAAAAATTAAATATAGACTTTAATGGATCGGTACGCCGATAATATTTAAGAAATACTTGTTTTTGTTAAAAAATCTTGTTTTATTCTAGTTCGCATCTTGTTGCTTAAAGCGATGTACAATTTGGGTATCATTAGCAAAAAGTAGCAAACTTCTCGACTCCACATTTAGTTCTAAGTGTAAAATTAGAAATAGCAAAGGTCTCAAAAGTAATCCTTGGTGTACACCTGAATCCATTTATTTTAGAGTTGAGAACTGTTGATTGACCAAATAAACGATTTTTAACCGACTTCAAGAAAGGAGGAGATTCTCAATTCGTCGGAATATTTTTTTATGTATGTTTAGCGATAATTATTTACTACATCGTTCGATTTCTATAATTGTTCTTTTGTTAAAAAGACGGCACTTTAAGAGTGATCTCATATAATTTTGGATCAAATAATGGAGTCCATTAGAAAATCATCATACTCTTCATTTTTTAAGTATTTTCAGCGATAATTCTTTACCACGTTGTTCGATTTCTATGATTCTTTTTTGTTAGAAAGGGGGTACCTCAGCGGTAGTTTCATATATAATTGGTCAGGATCTCATGATCTTTGGGAAAATAAAAAAATCTCAATTCTTAAGGGCATCTGCACGATTTTGAAATTTGATTTATTATGTCAAAAGCTTTTGTTAAGTCAAGCAGAAGAAGTGCTGTTGCTTCTTTATTATCTAGGGCTATAATAATGGCATCTGTTTAACGGCCAAGAGCTGTGGTTGTACTGTGTTTTTTGCGAAATCCTGATTGGTGAACCGGCAACAAATTGTTGACAGTAACATATTTGTAAACCTGATCATACACAATTTTCTCAAAAACTTTGAATAAAATGGGATGTAGACTTATTGCTCTTAATTTAGTATAGGACGTAGTGTTCTGAATTTTTGAAAGATATATTACTATTGCTTTTTTCCATTGGTCCGGAAAGTAGCCTTTTTTAGGTCTCAATCTACTATCATATTAAAAATTAAGGAAGTTACTAAATAAATTTAAGAGAAATCATCTTTCTTATAAAGCAAAAAATAATATATTGTTAGGTTTATAATTTTAATAACTTAAAACCAACTCTAAAAGTAGAATAAACCATTTAACTTAATTTTCTGTGTTTATTGCATCATAATATCACATTTTTCTAGCATAGATCATCTTATAAGAGAAACATTTTACTAAAAACGTTCCCTTTGCAATTATTTTAACGTGAAAGTTTTTAAATTAGTTTGCCTCTTGTAATTATCTGCCATTATCGATTTATATCTAGAAAACGATACTGCAATGTTAAACTTAACTACTTCAAATTTTGTACACGTTCGCAATATTTCAGAATTATGTACTTAACATTCATCTAGTAACTACGATCATTTTTGTTAAGGAAACTTTTAAAAATTAAAATGTATGATTCAAGAAACATTTAAAAATATATTTATGTTTTTTGCATGCAATCCTTATCGGTTATAGAATTTCTAAAAGATATTTGGCAAATAAAAAAATGCAGAATACATAAAATCGTTAACTGATGAGAGTATCAAAGCACCAAATAATGCAGACGGGTATAGAGATGGAGGAAAACTGTTATAAATTATTTTTACTGTTTATCAACTTAAACATTGCGTGATGAAGTCAATATTCAAGATTACTGTTTAATAAATGTTACTGGCATCGTTTTGATTGCCATTTTAAACAATATTTTCCAATTAGAAATTTACAGTCAACTTTAATATATTCTTCAATGACTGTTATTTATAATATGAGATGTAATATATCAATTAGAATGGGCCCGTTCACTTTCATTTTTGAATGTGAATTATTTATATATTTATAAAGATATTAAACTCTTTTGTCTGGTGGTACTTTTCCCGTTAAGGGCGCCATTTCAGTGTATTTTACGTGGTCAAAACATAGGTTTACGATTTTTTACAGAACTTATTTTTCACTGGATGGATTTTAATGAAACTTTGGCAGATTATAGAAAAATGTTTAATGATTGAAGTGAAACATTTTCATTTGTCCTGCTATTTATTAAATACTATTAAAAAATATAAAAAAGTGATAGTCACAGATGTAGTTCAAAAAACTTTATAGCATTCTACATATTTTTCTGAATATTCTTGCCAAATTTTAATAATCAATGTTGCCTACTTTTTAAGTTCTGTACAAAATACGATTTCATCTAAAATTGATAATTTCAATACGTCCATGTTGTTTTTTAGTTCAGGACCTAAATTATAGATGTCCGAGGAAGCAAAAGTAGCGAAAGCTTCGGCGCCGTGTTGCCATATTTTAAAATTGTCTTGAATTTAGACAAAACTATATTATTATGGTTATTTACAATTTACACAAATATAAATTATATATACAGGGAGACTCATTTTTTAACGTTTTTTTATTAAGACGAATTTTTAATAAAATTTGGTGCTTTGTCTAAAATTAAAAACTAAATTAACCAATATTTAAAATAAATGTCTTTATACGAGGAAAAACAAAAGTTTTAAAGATGTAATTTTTTTAATGTATGCTGAGTTTTTTTTTTTGTAAATAAAGTGTGAATTCGGCAAAATGGGCATGAGTTGGTTATTCAATATGTTAACTATCATGAGAGAAATATTCATCAATGCAATAAAGTGATGCTACTTTGAAGGCCAGTAATGTAATAATATATTTATTAGGCTATTAGTGACACCGATATCTTTTTGCTCCAGTTCATGGTTTCAAAAAAAAATCTGTTAAAATAACACTCATGACTCTTTCATTTACTCTTCAAAAATGTTTTTTATTAGGAAGGATAAAATGAAAAATTTCTAAGTATCCAGTAAAAGCTTTATTTAATTCAATAAATAGGTATGTAAATAAATAACAAAATATTCTTTTCAAATGGCCTCTCTGGCTTTCAGTCGTTTTGGAATATTCCTGTACACAATCTCTGGCATTACATACTGATCATAAAAATTTAGTAATTTGGGTAAAACATTATTCTGCCAAAAATGTTTAGAATGACTTCTATATGTAGGGGTTGTTCGTCGTTTATGTAAACTATAAAAAAACATATCTTTTCTACAAATATTGAGCTGTCCTTGAATCTAAAAAAAAAAAAATTATGAATTGAAAAAAAAAATGCTACTATTATTTTTATTTAACGCTAAAAACACATTTAAATAATTTTATTTTCGTGCAAATATAAAAATATTGAAAGATGAAAAAATATTCAGGCAAATGATTTCAAATTCTCACTTGGTAATAGTAGTTATGATTTCGCTTTAACGACAGCATATTATTTTTTATTTCCAAGCACATTGTAGATTTTTTTTCTACTGCTTGCCTAAGTGTTTTTTTTTTTTTTATTTGTGAACACTATGAAGGCATTTTATTTCAATAATGGCATTATCCCCTAAAAGAGCTATAAAAAAATACTAAAATTAATATGATTAATAAAATGACATGACGTATATGTATATTATTTCATATATACATTACCATCAGGAGAGGCTGCCAAAAACCCATGCACTTCGTCTACAAATATGCCGCATGTTCTAATATTTGCATATGCTCTTCTCTTCTAAAATAATTGCAAAGCAACACTTTCATTAGCTCTACCATATAACATGGCTTCTGACGTGAAATTGGTTTCGTAAAGGATTTTTTTACTAGGTTATGACAAGGAGTAGTTTTCCTCCTCTTCACAACTTCCCCAAATACAGATGCAGTTAATCGGTTTCGTCTTTCACTTCTGTATTGAGGATTATCCCACTCCCAGACAGCACACCAAATCCTTTAGATATCTACTGAACATCCCAATATCCACTGAATGTCCAGTCCATGGTAGATATCTATTTTATATCCATGAAATGTAATTTATAGACATGCAAATGTCCATAAATAATAGTTATTATATAGCAAATTATTAAAAAATTACGCCATTGTGGCTAATAGTACCGTTCAGATATTTAAAATTAATTTTTTTAAGGTGTATTCAATATCCCATGAACATCCACTAAATATATCAAAGTCTAGGCGCGAACGCAAACCATCGTGAATATCCACTAGATGTTATTTGATTCTGCTTACTAAGTATAGATGGCGATACCACTATCGCATCTACTCATGCTCGACCCGCCATAAAAGATACCCATAAAATATTTTGCTGAATCCGAATATCTTCTATATCCTGGGATATAGACAGACGGACATTTGGTTGGATATCCATATTGGATATATTGAATATCCACAAAATATATTCTGTGGGTATCTCTGTGATTTCTTGTATTTTCTGGAAGATACCCATTAGATATTTTGCTGAATATCCATTAGGATATCTTCTATATCCTGGATATAGACGGACATTTGGATATCCATATTAGATCCACGGAATATTTCTGATATCCTGTGGATATATTGAATATCCACAAAAGATATTCTGCGGATATCTCTGGGATTTGATGTGTTGTCTGGGCTGTCCCCTT